TTACAGGCCTCTCATCTTTTTAAGTGGGAGAACTTGCACAATTGGTGGCTGACTAAATACTTTTTTGCCCCACTGTATATATATATATTTTTTACATTCTTTATTTGATTTCATTTCATTATAAAATCAAGACACTGTCAAGAAACCCAATATTCCCGGGATAAATAAAGTATTCTGATTCTGATAGCATGGGATGGGAGGGTCACTTTGAAAATGTATTCTTAAATAATTACCCATTCATTAAAAATCAGAGACCTTTTCCAAGTATTGCTATATTAGAGTCATGTTATTAATCTTTTTATTTGTGATAATATGTTCTGAGAAACCGAACCCCGGTAAATGGCCGATAGCAATACCAAGTGATCTAAACAGGGGCCCAAGTTATAGAGCTACTTAATACGAGTTTTTTTGTTTTAGTGTCACAGCCGAGGCGATATTTGCCTGATATGAATTTTGTTTTTGTTTTGCCATCCAATTGCATAGAGCGAAATGAATAGAATGCAGATGATAATTTATTCGTGTAAATGTGCCCTAAAGCATTTCTTCAGCAGAGAAAAACATTTTGGAGCAAATAGAAAGGCAAGTGTTACATAGTGATGTCACTATGTAACGGAAGTAAACAAAGGAGTTCAATGGAGGTGTTTCAGGCAGGGGGGAGAGTGTGGGAGAGAAACTGCCTTTGCACAATAGGGCCCCTTTAACTGCAAGTGATGTCGGCTGACACAATTATTTAACCCCTAACTTTCCTGAGTTTTTTGCAAACAAGTCTTCAGTTCCCAATTGACATCCTTGTAAATATTAAAACAGTTGTACAATTCTGGCTACAGGTATATACATTTAAGAGAATCACTCATTTCAATTATTCTTAGTACAAACTGTAATTAAAAAGATTTACTTACTTCTCCACAGTCATTCTTTGCAAAAAAACGTTTATTTCCTGTAATAATGTAGGATGTATGCATGGATGTGTATTTATATTTTTTTCCATGATTTGGGGTATTTCACCTTTATTTTAAAGCTGACAGTATAGACTCTGGGAACAGGAAATGAAACGAGAGGCCTGCAACAGAGGTGCAGGTTCGTGGCTGGAATCGAACTGTAGCAGTGCTGTTATATTTTCAGAGATTGGCGCTTCATGGAGGGGATTAGAATCATCAGAACTGATCATTAATTGTGTTTCTTCACAGGTGGAACAGCAAGGCACTCAACTGGAGATGTTGCAGCAGAAGAACCTGCTGCTGCAGGAGGAGAACAACGTCCTCAAAGAAAAAACTCACAACTTTGAGAGGTATGGACATTTATAGAATGACCTTTACCAAATTAATATATACAGATAAAAACCATCTGGACATCAGTATGTAAACATCACTACCTCAGTGTAGCATCACACCTAATCCGTGACAATGGATTAATTTGCTTTAAAGGTCCTCTATTCTCCGCCTTTCAGTTTGCAGCAGCTGATAGCTGGAATATCATACAAAAAACCTTGAAGATGGAGACCTTTATCTCCCCCCGGTCCTTCAGGGACACTATTACAAATACATGCAGCTGCTTCGCCTGATGCTCACTACCAATAGGCGCTTTCACACCAAGTACTTTTCCCAGAATTTCCGGAACTATCTAGTAGATCGTGTTCACACTGGAATAAGTCCCTGAGGGAGGATTAGGCAAATTAAGCCGCTGACGTCACTTCTTCTTCTGCTTTGGGTTTACTGGCAGGCCGCAAACAACTTCACGGCGTATACTGCCACCCGAAGTCCCGGGTAAATCGCCAGAAGCGCCGACACCTCCTCATCACTCCACCGCTCCCACGTTTTATTTTGTGTTGCCATAAGTTAGTCTCTTTGTGTTGGTGCGCTGGGCTAATGCTAATGCTAATAATGCTAATGCCAGCAAATAAAATGGCGGCTTCACAAAAGTTTTCGGAATTTTAACGGGGCGTGGTTTGCAATTCAGAAATTGGAACCTTTTCCTCCCCAGGAAAGTACCACCTCTCTAGCAGGGACTGAAAAGGGGTGAAAAGGTTCCCGAGAACTAGGTTCTAGTTCCAGATGTTTTTGGTGTGAACGCAAAATCCCAGGAACTATCGGAACTATTCCTGGGAAAAGTACTCCGGTGTGAAAGCGCCTAATGTCTTGACCTCTCCTATAGTATGCATTACCATGAAGGAATGAATGGATGGATGTTCTATATTATTTTAATGACTGATTGAACTCCAGCAGTATTATTTTAGATATGTTATATGTTTAACTGCTATGCCTGCCATCTCTGCTTTGTGTCATCGTGTTGTCTCCTGGGTTCTGTAGTGACCGGAGTCTGTCTTCTTCTTTTCTTCCTCCCAACCCCCATCCCCTCAGGAAGCCTTTTGCCTCGTGTCAGGTCATCATTGAAAATAATAATTTGTTCTTAATTGATTTTCCTGGCTAAATAAAGGTTATACTACTACTACTACTAATACTACTACTACTACTACTACTACTACTACTAATACTACTACTACTCTTTTGCCTCAATATATTATAGTTTTCAGTTCTATACAAAACATGTCTCTGAAGTGTTTGACTCGAAATACCAAACAGATCGTGCATTGTAGCGTCCCATAATCCCCTCTGTTTCAGCCCTGTTTCAAAAGTGCTGATTCTCTGTCTTTTACTTTAGATGAAAATAAGGAGCACAATGGTGCTCTAGGAGGAGATTCAGGGGATAAGGTTGTCGGATGTTACCTTGGTTGGTGATGGGCTAATGGTTACACAAGCCAAAACATCGTTATGACATCATAAAGTGGCCAAAATCTGATCAGCTCATTTTCAGACAGGTTTTTATATAAATGGATCAGGACAAAAAGAGAGCAAATCTTTTTTCCTGAATCTTTCAGAATCTCTGAGGGGACACATATGTATGTATACAAGACATGGAAAAGTGGATTTAGCATAATATGTGACCTTTAACTTAGGTAAGAAATTGCACAGTTAGCGAACAGGGTCACCACTGTAGGGCACATTATACAGAGGGTCTTTATAGGGGAACATTTTCCAAACTGCAGCTGTAGATCTTTGTGTTATTTGTTGCAGGAGGCTGGAGGACTTGACGGTAGAAAACCAAGAGATGTCTGAGGCTCTGCCATCAAAGGAGGCCAGTCTTCGCAGCATTCAGCAGCAGCTGGAGGAGAAGAGCCACGAGGTCAGCTTCCTGTCCCGACAGCTGCAGACAACTCTGGACGACGCACAGAGACAGGTCTGAGACAGACAGACCCTTTTTACACCTTCCCTACACTTGTTACAGTCCTGACTGTTGCCTATCCCGCTTTTTCAGAATCAGAAAATGTTATTTATCACAGGGGAAATTGGGTTTTGCTCCATTATAGAATAAAAGATAATAAAAACAAATACAAAAATATGTATTTAAAAATGCAAGAAGTTAAAGTAAGAATGTTCATAACAAAGATATTATAGACCTATATATATTAAAGCAAAAGAAATTCAAAAATAATTGGTTAAAAAGGGAAACATTTAATGAACATTAAAATAAAATTCAAAAATGAATTGAAATAGAATGCAAATATTTATATAAACAAAAGAATGTCCAAAATAGATAAAATAAATATATTTATATAAAGATAAGAAGTTATTGTACAATGAGGGATAAAATAATATAACTATGTTAATATGTGCATTTCAAGCCTGGAATTACTAGTTTGAGACTATTTAGTGAGTGTGGCCTAAGTAAAACTTTGACAAAGACCAATTGGGGAGGCTGTGAAATGTGCAGGGACCAAGGTTTAAGTTACACCACAAAAGACCCTCCATGCTTGTGTGGTTTGATTGACTGCAATATTTTTGATCTAATTCTATCTGAGCTGATGTTGTATTACAATAAATGACATGCAATGTTCAATCAAGAGGGCCCTTCCTCAAGTTTCTAAACACTTGACACGTATAAAAAAAAGACTGCATTTGGTAGACACAAACATTTTATTATTTAGAATATACTGAATGTCCTTCATAAATAACAAGGGGTACATGTTCTCCTCCCTGAAGGTGGACGCCAGCATGCAGAAGGTTCTGGTCAAAGAGAGAGCGTCTCAGTCTAAAGCTTTGGACCTGCAGAGCCTGCTGAGCCGAGCCAAAACAGAGCAGAGTCAGCTGCAGCGGAGCAAGGAGGAGGTATGTCTCAATGTCTTTGGAATTTCATATTGGACATACAAACCGTTAGTTCTCGTGTTGTTTCCGTTTTCTTTCAGATGGAGCGGCGTTTCCAGAGTCAGCTGCAGAACATGAAGGACAGACTGGAGCAGTCCGACTCTACTAACCGCAGTCTGCAGAACTATGTACATTTTCTCAAAACCTCATATGGGAACGTGTTCGGTGACTCTTCACTTGCAAGCTGACCAGCATTCATCCATTCCCAAAGCATTGCAGTATATATAAGTGACATTTTTACTTAAGAGTTTTATAGTATCAATTAAATGAATTAAAGGTTTTTAAACATCATTGTTGCCTGAAATGAATTTATATTCTTCCATAAAAAAATGCCTTCACAATTGTTGATTCTGAGGACAATTTTAGGAAAAAAAGTCTGTTTTTTTATGTATTTAGAAACTGTTTCAGTTATAGCGACACTCGGTATGCGTTTGTGTTGCATCTACCAGCAGGTGCTCAGGGACACTAGCTGAGGCGACCATCTTTGTGGTAAAAACGTTGTCCATCACCTCTAACGAAACATTCCAATATATCACTAAAATATACATTTACAGATCAATATTTCTACTGTTTTATAGCCTCTCCAGTACTCCTGTAAAGTAAGGGTACATACAGTTAAAGTCTCACATTATGTACATAAATAACTACTTTAGATTTGAGTTAGGCCAAGTGAGGGCACATTGGATTTGGCATGTTGGAAACATGTTGTCTTAATTATAAAAGAAGAGTATTTTAAACGTACATAGAATATACTGCAAAAAAGACACTGGAAAGACTTAAAATGCAAAATAAAGACACATATTTATAAAAGGAAAAATGGGTATTTTAATATATTTCAAAGGTGATGTAGCCTAATGAAAAGATCATTTGTTTTTGGTACAGTACATTTTTTTGGGGGAAATAGACATCCATAAGAAGATATGAACTGACTTTTACCGGGGACCGCTATGGCAACATCATGAATAGTGGTGCAGTGATGACGTATTTTTGTAGGCCGACCCGGAAGTAAGCTGCGCAAGTGTTCCCTCGACAAAAAGCAACGGGATTTCGGAATATTTTAATCTCCACATGTCTACCCTACATTTATCATTTTCGAATTATAAATCTAATCGCCAGAAGCAAATTGCAAACGTTATGCTATAACTGAACAACAGCTGAGTACAGCAGAGTCGCACGACTTCAACGTCACGTTTTCACCTTGTATTTGAATTTTGCGTGTTTGCATATTTTAACAAAGCTTTTCCTTTTAGCCACACTGAATTTAACTAGAAGTCATGACTGTTTCAATTACCAGTCTGATATCGTTTTACAAAGATGACAAACAGAGAGTAGATAGGAGAGAACCACTACAAGTCAGGACACGTACAGCAGTGCAGCCTAGATGAAGGTGTACTTACCGTTTTGTCAGGGCCAGCATGAGGGACAAGGTCTATAGAGTGTCAGTGAGTAGTGATAGCAAGAAAGGGAAGAGTACCGTTAACCTAGAGTTCATTTATTCATATTAGTGACATTAATTCCCATCAACAAATCAATTTGATGTGTCACATGAAATCTTTATTACAAATATTACACACCAGAAAACTCATTCTGGATGTCCATTTGCTTGGGCATAGCAATTGTGATGTCCGTACAATCCAATATCATTCTGCGGATGAGCCGAAATGAAGAAGGCAAGCTGGTTTTATTTTTCTCCCGGCCGGGAACAGTTATCATTGTGTCCTTAAAAAGTAATTTGTGGAGAATGTCTATAAATGTACCGATCACATTTCTGACAGTGGTTATACTGCAGTGAAAGAGTGCAGCCAGATGAAGGTGTGTGTAACTATGACGCAGTTTCATGAGGGTAATGAAAACTTGGTCTTCAAGACTCAGTGTTTTGGGGCTCCAACCTTCTGGGTATGTAATGGAACCCTCAAAACGAGCAACATACTCACACACAGATCTGAACGTGTCTCTATCTGGCAATCCTGTCTCCATCCGAAGAACCTTTTCACTCAGCTGAGAGGCAGAATACATGTCACGGCAGTAACTCTCCTTATCTTTGAGGGACTTCAACTCTGCCTTGGACTCCGCTAGCTGGATCTCTAGCTGCATTCTGTGTCTTTGCTCAGATTGAAGTTTTTCTTCTACCGTTTCACTGGTGGTTTGCTCCTCATCATCCTCAGATAGTGGTCGAAGATACTCATTAGCAAATGGATCTGCTTCCTCCTCAGTCATTAGACACTTGGCTTCTTCCTTTGTTCCATGAATTTGAGTGTCATTCCCTCTCAGACAGTAGGAATGATCTTCTCTATTTAGTTTGACAATATTCTGGGCTACAAATAAAACAGGCATTTTTCCCTTTCCTTTAGGAAAATGACAGCTGCAGATGCGGGAATGGGCACCGGGCTTCCTGTCAGCTCGTCTGTTGGGAGAAAAATGTTCGAGATATCAAATATTAGTTTAATGGCAGTTACACCGTCACATATAAGAGCACACATATCTGACAGTTGCAAACAAAAATAAATCATCATTTAAATGCTCCTACAATTAACAGTTTAGGCTAAAAACAAAAACATCTAAAGATATAACCTTGCACTTTGATAAGTCTCGTGAACATTTTCACTATTTTAACATTTTTATAGATCAAAATTGAAATGAAGAAATAAATGGTAGATTAATCCATAATGAAAATAGGGGTCAGCTGCTACACTAATTATAATAGTTATATTTCTTAATTAGTTCAATGTCAAACTAATTTCCCTGACTACAATCTTTAGTTACATGGCGAAACGTAATGCTGCTTGAACTAATTCAATTTATAAGCCACACAGGTTTTAATAGGATTTATTAATTATCTTTACTTATGTTACCGATACAGGACAACATTCCTGCCCACTGCAATAACAACAAATCATCTCTGGCTGGCAGAGAACTCACTGCTCCATAGTTTCTCTTGGAATAAAGCCACATTGTACATTTATATAATCTGTTCAATATGTAATATTCCATCTGTCATATATGTATGTATATATAACATCTGACCTTGGTAAATGTATATTTTCTACTTTCTTGTCTTGAATTTGTATTGTACAATGCCATGTCTTTTTTACGGAGCCCCTAAGCCTAAAGGTTCATGGAAGAAGAAAAAAAGTATGCCCACGATATACTTTCTCGTTCGCACAAGATACTTTCTTATGGTTAGACACATCAAACTGCCCGATTATTACGCCATTTTATTAGTTTTATGAAGAAGATGTCCGGTCGCCAGGGCGTCTGTGTTTGTTTGTGTGTGTGGGCATTTGTTTTCAGAATATATTATGATCGTGCACTCCGACAGGACGAAACCAGCATTCAATTAAGATTAAACGAACTTCTTTCACTTGGGAATACACACACCATGTATATCAAACTGCCCGATTTGATCAGATGTGTGTAAATTACTGTTCATGGTAATTCTCACACACGCGCTGAATAATCGGGCAGTTCGGTGTGTGTGGTTAAAACGTAGCAGCCTCGATCTCTATTCAGAGGTTCTAATGAAGGTAAACACAGTGAAGGCGGCGCGTAAAAGGCACAGCTCTCTGCACGCAGATAGCCGATACTGAGAGTCACGACATTAATTCATAGATCAAGGCAGACTGGTTCACACAGACTCTCCGGTGCTTAAACAAATAGCTCTACACCTCTGGCCAAAATGTCCGTAAAATGAAGTAGGAGTTTGAAATATATCTAAAATAATGTATCCACTGCCATTTCCCCACGCTCCACTTCCTACTTGGCAAACGAGAAAGTATATCGTGCGAACGAGATACTTTTTTTTCTTCTCCATGAACCTTTAGGGGCTCCGTACTTTTTATGCCGCTGCAACACAAACATTTCCCAAATTGGGATCAATAAAGTACTATCTTATCTCTTATCTTACCGTATAACACGAGTCCAGACTCTCCTTTTGACAACATCTGTCGGGAAACGATAGAACGAGCAAGTTCCATGCGAAGACTTGTGGCTGCAACCCGGAGCAAAGCAACAAACCATTGCGTAGCAATATTAGCTAATCGATAGCTAACAATCACTGCTGATGTATTTAATGTCGTCGAACAACACGTGGTCCGCCTCTTACATGTGTGTTAACCACAGACTTTATTTCGAGCTATTTGTATTTTCCAAAAAACTGTTGACTCTGAGACGAGGGAACCGGAAGTGGTAAAATACTAACTCACTTCCGGGTTTTAGGACTCGTCGTCACTGATGAACTGGATACAGCGTGGGAGGCGGGGCCTCGTTCATTCCTATGAGAGTTGCTCATTGGCGCATGAAGACAAAATGGCCCAACTTTTGAGAGAGTGAAAGGTCAGAAAAAAAACAGAGAGATTTCAAGAATAAAGTCGTAATGATACGAGAATAAAGTCATAGTTACGAGAATAAAGTCATAGTTACGAGAATAAAGTCATAACATTACGAGAATAAAGTCGTAATATTACGAGAATAAAGTCGTAATGTTACGAGAATAAAGTAATAATTACGAGATTAAAGTCGTAGTTTCATAAGTGACTTGAGAAGCGGACTTGGAGGAGATTGTCTCCTTTCTGCAGGAGGAAATGGCTGGTTCTGGCCGACTACATTACATTGCATTTAGCTGACGCTTTTATCCAAAGCGAAGTGCATTCGACCAACTTTCGAGCTAAAACATTTCAAGTGCTACTCAACTGGATTTAGATAAGCCAGTCCTTTATTAGTATATGTGCTTTGTTAGCAATTATGTATTAGTAATTCTATCGCTCGAAGTGGAGTCGAAAGAGATGAGTTTTCAGTCTGCACCGGAAGATGTGTAAGCTTTCTGCTGTCCTGATTTCAATGGGGAGCTCATTCCGATTCCACTACAAGGCTATCGTTCGACTCCTTCTGGATTCAAAGCCTTGATTACAAGTCTCATCGTTTCTTGTGAAACAACAAATCCCCTTTGAACAGCTCGTAGATGTAACCAACGATAGCCTTATAGTCGGCCAGAACCAGCCATTTCCTCCTATTTCGTTATTTGAGAAACCTAAACTAAAGTACTGCTTTACAAGATGCTCCACATTCCTCATTTTATTGCAGGACGCTGCTGTTGTCTCCTTCTCAATTAAGTCACTTATGAAACTACGACTTTAATCTCGTAATTATGACTTTATTCTCGTAATATTACGACTTTATTCTCGTAACTATGACTTTATTCTCGTAATATTACGACTTTATTATCGTAACTAGGACTTTATTCTCGTATTATTACGACTTTATTCTCGAAATATCTCTGTTTTTTCCCCTAAGTGTGGCCCTAATACTCCGTCGTAGTTACTGCATGTTGATGAACGTAATGGGATTTAAAAAAGTACATTTGAATTTGGAAACGAAATGTGCGCAGTGATTACGCATTACACTGCCGGAGCCACAGTCGTACACACTGATACGACATACTGTGCAACAAAGGATATTTTTGCTCATTTCCTCTTGATTACATATAAAGAATTCTGACATCAAATGAGACTAAAGAAGCCAAACCAAAGAAAACACATGTCAGACGTCCCAGCAAAGAGCAGGAATTATACTCGATCCGTGCTCTTAAAAAACGGAGGATCTACTTTCTTTTGGCTTTTTTGGCTAATTGCAAGCCCGTAGAGTCCTATTGTGAACCAGGAAAGGCATACATTGCAGAAATCTTCAGGCTATATAACTTCTTCATAGTGTCATGGAGACACAACCGTACAGCAGGTGGCGGCGTGCACTTGTAACGATGAAGTGTTGTCCGCCAGTAAAACCACAGAAGAAGTAGAAGGAAGTTGTTTTGATTGCGGAAGTACAGTAATAGAAGTAGGCGCTGCCGCAGCCCACTGAAGTTATTTTCTCTTGAGAGGAATACATCAATTGAATTTTGATTAAGGTGTATGTAGGTCTCTTTGAGCTTCCATTCACAGCTCGATCAGGTAAGAATGAAGCTGCGCAGCGGTGGTTAAGTTAACGGTTTTAAACTGGAACTGTGCTTTGCTAAGTTAGCTTGGCTAACGCGACGTCGCTGAGAAACACCTCAGTGACAGGTTATGACTAGTGACTAGATATCAACAGCAGTGGAGGGTGAAACATATCTGTATGACTCCTACAGCATGTGAGTAGACGAGGTTTCTAAGTAATGTGGAAGTCATGTTGTGTCGTGGTTGTGTCCTACAAAAAAAGGGCCTACCGTTTCTCATTGTGTCTCATCTCAAACTGACCCTTTAAAACTGATTCTGACACTAAATGAACTTAACATAATACAAATATAAAGAAACTATAGATGATAATGAAAACAGGAAGTATGGTGATAAGCTGTGGTTACATTCTGAAAGTATGTATGTCATTTACTTAAGTCAAAGTATCAATAGTACATTCAAAAACGTATTGTAAGAGTAAATACCACATTAAAGTACACTTAACATGTAATACTTAAAGTTTACACACTTATTTATACTAGTAAAAGGGTCCCTGTCATTTCTTCTTCTATAATTCATCATGTTTTTGCATTAATATGACTGCTTCGTTAATGTTTATGTTGCATATTTTGTTATAAAAGCTGAGCACATATGAACTACTTTATACTGTTGGGTAGTTTAAATATACAGCAATGAATGGTACTCATCATCATCATATGTTTGTGTATTTTATTAAAATGTTCACTCATTGTTTAAACGATCAAATTAACAGTGATACATTGACAGCCTCTGACCATTGTGCTTGTTATGGAACAGAGGGGTAGAATATGCTGGAAAAACAGTATTATTTTCTGTAGACTTCAAGGAAAGTATATACACTCAAACGATTTCAAGTACCTCCACCTTTCCCTTTTTATTAGAGCCCCACCTCTTGATAACAATTTGTCTCTCTTGACTTCCTGTGTTTCTGTACCAGCTAGCCAAGATGTCACAATCAATACAAGCTACCTCACTATTATTAAGCATGCTGATGGAGCACCTCACATTTGATCAATACAGAGTAGAAAAGCCCAAGTCATGGACCCTCCACGCAAAGTCATTGCTTTATTTTCGAGATGTATTCAGCCAGTTGTGGCCAGAATACAGGGTGTGAAGAGAGGCCTATTTGTTCTCGTTTATACAGCATATTGATTCATCTTTCAATAACGTACAAGGAAGCTTAAGACTTCAAATTATAACCAAAATGACAGTATGTTTAATCAGATGTACAGATATACAATTGTGAATTATAATACATATTTCATGTTGACGTCAAATCCACTCTAAATATTGTGCATTAACTTCCAATTGAACATTAGTTAAAGGCTTTTAAAATGTAATTGATTAAACAGCTATAGAAGGAAATGGAATACAGCAAGTCAGATAGGAACCTGGTTAGCAGAATTAAGGTCAAAGCCTTTATAAAGGAGCCTTTTTCCAGAAAACTGTCCAAATGCTCTGCTGGAAGAAAATGTTTCCAAATTACACAGTGTTTGACATAAACTGCAAGACAAATATAATGTTGTTTGCTGCAGCTGCTAAAAGGGTCTGTTTATTATATTATGGGTTTCCATATAGCTCAGTTGGTAGAGTTGGCCCATGTACAGGGGCTTGGTCCCCATGCATGGAGACCATCTGCAGGGTGTCGTTCCCCCTGTTTTCACCTTTCAACACTGTCAGTGAAATAAAGGCACTGGTTATATATATATATATATATATATATATATATATATATAATGTTATTGTGGTATGAAATGTCATTTTAGCTGAAAACTGAAATTACAGTATCTGCATGGAGCTAAGTATGCAGTAAGTCTGAAAGTATAAAACACATTTTCTTGTGATTCCGATGAAAATACATTTAGTTATGAAATTATTCAAATCTAGAAATCTTTTAAAGTAATGATTTAACCAATAATCACAATAATAAGAACAGGTGTGCCAAACTTCTTGAATGTCAGTGTAGAAAGTTATCACCTCAGGGTAAGTCGCTGGTTCCACTTGCTGTTTTACATGTTCTGTTATTCTTCCCAGTGTTGCAGGTTGAGCTGTCGGGATGGCGGACCATAACGACGTCAGTTTGCAGCCGGAGGAGCGAGTCCGCGCTCTCACCAAGAAGGGAAGCTCGGTGGAGGTGAATGACGACGTGCCCCCGCGCCGCTACTTCCGCTCCGGCATGGAGATGATCCGCATGGCTAACATCTACGCAGAGGAAGGCAACATCGAGCACGCCTTCGTCCTTTTCAATAAATATATCACGTGAGTGTTTACAGCGATAAGGCTGGATCATTGTGTGTATCAGCTTTTATTTGTTTGATTGGGTTTCATACACTAAGTTCTTTATACTTTGATCGTCATTGTAATGGATTTGTTGGTTTACAGAAATGAATACATTAGATCAGGGGTACTCAAATACAAATCTTAAAGGTCCAAAATAAATGTTTCAATAAGACAAAGGTCCGTTTATTACGGTCATTCAAACCTTTAAACAATTGCAACAAGATTCTTAACACGAGGTTGCAAAAACAAAAATAATCTGTATGCAGCAGTTTTCATTGTTATTGTGTCTGTGCTTGACCCCTCAGAGTCGCAGTGGTGTCAGTGGACTCACCCACAGCTAAGGAAATGCACTGTGCATTTTTTATTCCATCACAAAGCTGATGAATCAAATCACCAGCCAGTATTTCTGTTCTTCTGGTTGCTGTGGAATCTGAGAGGCGGATTTGCTTGATTTGCCTGTTATTTCCTCTTTTTGTTTGCCTTCAACATGGTCTCCATCACTTCAGTCATGCATTATTTTATACTGCAGTTATTATCCAGTGGAAAGTCCTTACCTACTGGCCTAGTTCAATCAAAGTGGTTACTTTTTTTTGGCTGGGCAGTGTAGTTTTACACACCGTCTTATTTGACTTTCTCAGGACTTAAAACTGTTTTTTGGGGGCAGACCCCCTTAAAGAAAAAAATATATTTACACACGTAAGGTCATCATCTTAATAGTTTTGTATGCTCATCCGTGAGCAGAGCATCAAGTTGACATGTCTATTACAGCTGAATGCGGTGATTACCATTTTGAGAATGCTTCTCGTTTTGCGCCGTCCCCACTCCCCAAATGAAATCGCCGCCAATCATATGTCCACGCTCGCACCAGGACCGGGGGAGGGGTTACATGACGTGCATCTTGTGCTGCATTCACTTGCACTCGGACATTAGAGACTTTCTCTCATAAATGTCCGATGAGC